CCAGCATCTGCAGTTCCTACTATCTTTGACACGTATGTGGATAGATGGGAGGGGTTTGGGGCATCTTCCTCAAAGAGAACACTAAAAGTTGACTTGATAGTAACATTCAAAACTCATGATGGAGGTGGATCAGTTGGATAGAAACTGTTCCATTGGTGGAAAGATTGAGATTCAGAAGAGTTGAACTGATTGGCAAAAGCAGCAATGGGGATATGAGGAAGCCCCTCTTCGGTAGCAAGTAGTTAGAATCTGGAATGAAGTGCCTGACAGCAGGTTAGAGGGAGATTCGGTCATAACATTCAAGAGGGAATAGAACCATTATCTGAAAGAAATTCAGGGCTATACATAAATGACAGTAGCACTAGGTAATTTGCTCTTTCGCACAGCTAGTAGAGACTCAACGGGCCAAATGGCCCAGTTCTGTGCTGTAAATATTCTACCGTTCTTCAGTTTGATGTGACCATAACAGCATAATTAGATACAAATTAACACCTAGACATCGGCACAGGTGATTAAGAGACTGGTAAAAGATATCAGTTTTAACAATTGACATATAGGGGAGGAGGGCAGATTTAGCGAGAAAATTCCAAAACTTAAGATCTGGACAGCTGAAAGACCAGCTGTCAATGATTCAGAGAATAAAGTTGCACAGGATGCCAGATTTGGAGGAAGGCAAAGTTCTAAAAGGATTCCAGGATTGCTGTGATGTATAATTATTGTCTTCATTCTATTCATAACCAAAGTATCACTGTGTCCTCTTTCTGCACTCTCACAATTACCTCTGTATACCCTGGGGATAAATTCTTAGTTCTTTCCTATTTCTCATTTATATACTCTCCCTTGGCAACAACATTCGAAGCCTTCTGACCTCATGTTTACACCATTTCCAGAAGTGCCTATTTTCTCCTCCCATAACATCAAGGGACCATGCCACATTTCCGTACATCTGCTGCTGAACCTTTATTCATAACTTCAGTACCTCTGGACTCCAATGCATGCCTGGCGCAGCTCTGACATGCTATGTACCCTTTCTGACTGGAGATCATCCAAAACTCTGCTGCCCATTTCTTATGATTAGAAAAGCTCGAGAATAATTATTCCTCCGTTGGTGGCTGCATTTTCAACTGTTTAGGACCCAAGTTTTGGAATTCATGCCCTATACCTCTGTCTTTACCTCACTTGCCCCTTTAAAACACTTTAAAGAAATCTCTTCGAGCAAGCTTTTGGTCATCTGACCAAGTGGTTTGATGTCATCTTTGCTTTACAACACTTCCATGAAGCGCCCATGAAAATTACATTACGTTAAAAGGTGCTAAATAAATATGCTGCCACTGGTTGAGGCGCTTGGGGAGGTTCAAAAGAAGGAGGAGTAAGATCATGGAACAATTAGAACAAGAGGGTGAGAATGAAATACAAAGGTGTTGTACTGGGCGTCAATGTAGGTTAGTGAACATAGAGGTGACAGGTGACCTGGATTTCTTGCTTGTCAAGATATAGGCAAAGTTTTGGATGAGACCAAGTCTATGAAGGATAGATGATAGAGTCTAATGAGGAATATATTTAAATATTCAAGTCTAGGGATAACATAAGCAGAAATGAGGAGGTTAACAGAATATTGTTCGAGGCAGAAGTGAAGTTGGACAATGCTTGAGGTAAAGGTGGTCAGTTTAAGTGAGAGAGACACTGTGGTCAAAAGCTTAAGTCAGTGTCAAATAGGAACAGGTGAAGTTGCATTAATTTCCACCATCCTCAATCGCTGCAGCCTTCCTTGCATCATTTATCAATTTGTTTTAGATTAACTGATGGAAATTGGTGGTCATGATTAGTCAGCACCATTCATTGCCACGATGGTAAGGCAAATTAGAATGGACTGTCACCTTTATTAACAATAATTCCTGACAAAATACCATATTGATATGACCACCACATAAAGTCCCACCTTCCCACTGAAGATACCCTCTAGTATTTCTGAGCTGCATAGCTGTGTATCTGCTGCTCATTATTCCACGCATGACAATCAATGTCAGTATACCAACCATGAAATTGACTTCCAGTTCCAGAAGTCGCTGCCATGCACAGGCTTTACAGGCCCAAGCAGCTGGAATGAGAAATAGAAGGAATGCTATCTCCACTGTGCTGTGTGGAATTACCACGATGCTGAATGTAACAGATTTCAAACAGATTGAGCAATTAAAGACTCAGCACTTCGGTGGTGTAGTAGGGCAGCAGCCAATCTTATTTAACCACAATCCATAACCTCATGGGCTGGCATACCACCCCACTCTACCACTGCAACCAAGCCAGGGATCAACCTTGGTTCAATGAAGATCAAAGAAGGGCATCTCAGGAGCAGCACCAGGCATACCTAAACATGAGGTGTCAACTTGATGAAGCTGCACCACAGGACTATAAAATCAGTGTTAGCAGCAAGCAACAGCTAGTAAAATCCCACTACCAATGGATCATATCCAAGCTCTGCAATCCTGCCACATCCCGTGTTGAATGGTGGTGGGCAATTAAACAATTAAATTCTCCCATCCTCAACAGTGGAAAAGCCCAAAACATCAACGTAAAATACAAGACTGAGGCGTTTGCATCGATTGTCAGCCAGAAGTATCAAACATATCAAGAACAATCATTCCTGCCAAAAAGGGAAACAGAAGATGCTAGAACCAGTTGCAATCTCTCAGTGGCAGTAAGGGATCCAAATATTTTTTACAAGCACAAACGTTAAGGACAGAAATACTTGAAAAAACACAGCAGTTATAATGCTACAGCAATAGAAAAGTAAATGTTTACGTTTTGTATTAGTGAGGTGCAGGACACGAGAAAGAATTTCAGATTTTAGACAACAGAAACCTTGCAAAACTGACCAATTCTAGACTTTACAGGATTCATTCCACACCTGAGTATGAAGAGCCAACAGGTGCTGGCTATGCTTTCTCCACAATTTGGCACCAAACTGAGATACAGTCTTTTATTAAAATCTATAACAGCATTGCTGTCACTGAAATCAAGAATCATACTTGTCAGCAATTGCACTCCTCAAACTAAACCCATCATATTCCACGAAACAAAAAACGGTGACACACAGATGTTAGTTCATCTCAATTCTAGAAAGTAGAAGGATAAGCAATACAGCTAAAATTTGTCCTTTACACACTTACTCAATGCCTTACATTTAGTAGCTTCTGTACTGCTCATCCTCCTCTTTAACCAAAATGAAAGTGATCTTATGATAAAATGGAAATAAGGTCCCTATTCTTAACTGTTGGTAAGCATCACTTCAGTTTCACACATCAGATGCAAAATATCTTACTGATGATGTACACCACACAAATTAATCCTGATAGAGATAGATAAAGACCTGGAGGAACTCTCTTTGGCTATCGAGACAAGAGCCAAATATGCACTCTAGCAAGAGGACTTATTTCACAGTGGTAATGTCTCTATTCTGAGTCAGAAGGCCCAGATTCAAGTTGCACCTGTTCCAGGAGTGTGTAATAACACATCTGTCAGGTTGATTAAAAATATCTATACTCTAGTAAACCTAACTATTTGGAACTTCTGCACAATTTTCTAGGTAAAATAGGTTGGGAGAGGGTCTCACATGCATGAATAATAGTCGATTAAATTTCATCAAGAGACATGGAGGTCTTCCTTTAGCAATAGAAATTGTTGGGCTGCTCCAGCATTATTCCTGTATGCACCCACAGCCTCTAGTTTTGGAATAAATCAAACAGCAAGGGTTGCTCCGGGGTTACAGGAATCAATCCATACAGATCTGGGTTTTGAAAACTCAGGGTTGCACCACTGTCCTTACTTCATTTTTGACATTGTCATACAAAAATGCATTAGATAGACAATTTAACTCTTGGGAATAATAACATCTCTCAGGTTTAGAGAGTCTGATTTACTTAGATAGGTACAGATACAGAGACAAAGTATCCAGATAAGTTGTTCATCCCATTTTGCTTCAATCTTGGCACATATTTTTACTTTAATAATTATTTTCAATTAATATGTAACAAATGCTCATTTTAAGCTTTAGCATTGTACATGTTGTTTAAAGTATAGATCAAAGTTTGTCAGCTATAATTTTAAGTGAAGAATTTTCTATTGCACACATTTATCTTCACTGCATTTTAGTTTCCAAACCTTTCGGAATCATCAGATCAGCTATACAAGTAGTTCTCCTATAATGTGATAGTTGCATTCCTCATGCTATAGAAAATCACATTATAGAAAATTGCTATACCTGTACAGCAGAAAGTTGTGTTATCCAAACAGCGTCCACGTTCATCAATCACGTTACAGCCAATTCACGTTAACGAAACACGTGTTATAGCAGAACTACCTGTAGTCCTATTGAGCAGGCTCAAGTCTTTGTTTCTGTTCCTGGCTTGCATGCTCATATGCAAAATAAAACACCCTCAGATTTTAAAAATTTACTTACCCTTTCTATTGCTTCCTTCTCCTGGGGTGTAACCTGGATGTAGTTAGTGTGTGGTGACCCATGACCCTCTGCCCCTTCACTTCCAGCCTCTCCCAAAGGGTCATTCAACATCTGAACAAACTGCTCCTGATGCTGAGTTATTTGCTGGAAAGCAATCAGAAACAATCAGTGCAATTTGCATACTAGGATACCGTTCCAATCAACAAGTAACTCAACACAATATTGTAATAAAGTTTATTATTCCAAGAAAAATCACCATGTAGAATGTTTGTGTTTTTAAAAGCAATGGTGTGGCTATTTTGGAATGGATACTTCCTATTTCAAGCACTGAATGTCAACATTAAGCAGCATTAAGTCAGACAGTTACATCTGGATGAAAAGCGATGCTCCTTTTACTTTACCTCACAACATGCTTCATAATCATGACAGCACAAGAGACAGCAATTCAGCCCATCAAATCCATGCAGACTCACCATAGCAAAATCCTACCAATTGCTTTCTGAACCTTATCACACAGTGTTTTATAAGATTTGTTTCCCTCAAATGCTTCTACAGCTTCCTTAGTTCTAACAACAGGGGAGGAGGTATCTTACTGTCAATGTCTCTGGACCAGTAATCCAGAACCCCAGAATAATATTCCAGGATATAGGTTCAAATCGCATCAGGACAGATCAAAAAATTTGAATTAAATAAAATCTGGAATTAAAAATTAGTCTAATGACAAACATGTAATTTTTAATAAAAAGCCAATCCATCACTAATGACTTTTACAGTCCTTATCTGATCTGGCCTACACACAACTCCAGACGCACTCTTAAGTGCCCCCTGAAATGGCCTAGCAAGCTACTCAGTTGTATCAAAACCACTACAAAAATCTACCAAGCTACTGGAAACAACAACAGCAAACAGCAACCACCTGATAGCCATATACATGGAAGCATACCTTTGCAGACAATGTCCAGTGACCATCACCTCTATGTGTGTGTACCTTGTCCCACTAGCAGAACAGACCCACCACAGCTGGCAGAAAATTCATATACTGTCAGGAGGAAGTTGCCTTGGGCATCCTCAACATAGATGCCATGAAGTTTCATGGTATCAGGTCAAACATGAGCAAAGAAGATTCCTGCTGATTAATACCAGCCACCAGCCCTCAACTGACAAAAATCAATTGTCCTCCATGTTGAATGCTATCTGGAGAAAACATCAATGTTGTCAAGGACACAGATGTACTCTGAGCAGGAACTTCAATATCCTTTACCAAGGTGGCTCACTATTACTATTGTGGACCGAGCTGTCAAACCCTAATAGACAACCACTAGACTAAGTCTGCAGTAGGTAACAAGGGAACCGAGAGGGGAAAAAGTTACTTGACCTCAGTCTCACCAATCTGCTTGTCTCAGATGTGTCTGTCCGGGAAGTGACCACTGTATATTCATTGTGGAGACCACATCCTCTCATCGCATTAAGGATACACCCCCACCATTACTGTACACATGGGACAGGACTCCAAACAATTCAAACAGATCCAACAATTCAAACACAGCAGGCTCGGCAGCATCAGTGGAGCAGGAAAGCTGACGTTTCGGTTTGGGACCCTTCTTCAGAAATG